GCTGCCAAGATCTAGAAAGCAGCAAAGCCGAGGGAAACCCAGGGCTTCTTGCTCCTATTCCAGCCCTTTCTCCTCAAAGCTCTGCCAACTATAAAAAGAAATGCAACATGGTCAAACAGCCTGAGTCATAATATATTTTAAAAAATAAAAGCCCAGGTTCACAAATATTCACTCATCAGCCACTGTGCGCCAGAAAGTGAGGCTGCAGGCACAGTATTTGGTCCAAGTGCTGGGGGGTACAAGAGCAGTGTGAAAAGGGCTCTGGAACGAAGATGAGGCTGTGGTTAACGCTAATTCCACCTGCCAACCTGGAGAGGAAGAACGGGAAGATCAGAGAGAACCACAAAGAGTCAGCAACTGAGGTGGGCTCGCAAAGAGCGGTTTCTGATGAAGAAGGGGGGAGCAAGGAAAAGGCTGAGGGTGGGGAGAGTGGAAGCAAGGTGGGGGTTCAGCATAGCAGAGGGCAGACTGCCCTGGATCTTACTCAGCCACCTCCTATATTGCTTCCTGTACATTCCTCCACACCCTTAGGGACTCTCACCAAAGGAATGAGCCAGAATGGAAGACTGGAAGGGATGAGGGGTACCTACAGAAAGCTTCATGCTATCTACAGCACTACAACGGGTCTGAGAGTCTAAGAGGCCCCAGGGGAGATTGTCACAGGTCTCTGGCTTCCCAGCCCTGAAGATGCTGTGCCCACAGTTAGACAGGGCAGACTCTGTGACCTCTGCTCCTGTTTGGATGGGGCATATAAGGTCAAGGTCTGACTGTGAATGAATATGGGTGCATGACATCTTTGCCCACAAGGTCTTACTTCCCACAGTTATTACATGGAAGAAGCCTCTCCCCTATCATAGACCTGGGGTATAACAGGTGACCCCGACCCCCTCCATCATACCAGAGCCGTAGCTCAAGGCAAACAGAGCAGCACTCCAGCGCATACTGAGGACTTCCTTCAGTCAGTACCGCAAATTCTTTCAAATTTTCTTGCCTCTCTTTTTTCCTTCTGGGACACGGTCTCACCACATTGCCTGGTTTGCTGTTAGCTCATGGACTCAAGCCACTCTCTGCAGGTATGCACCACTGTGCCCAGCTCCTTGAGCATTAGTATTATATTTTTGGTCTAAAGGATTCTATTAGTTTGGTTCCAGAAATAGAAATCTTGGTGGCTGGAGAGATGGCTCCATGGTTAAGAGCACTGGCTGCTCTTGCAGAGGACCTGGGTTCAATTCCCAGCACCCACATGGCAGCTAACAACCATCTGTAACACCAGTTCCAGGGGAATCTGATGCCCTATTCTGACCTCTATGGGCATTACACAATATGGGTACACTAACACACATGTAGACAATATGCTTGTAGACATAAAAATAAATTTAAAAAATCTCAAGAACTCTTCGTTTTATTTTTGGTTTTTGTTTTTTTGGTTTTTGTTTTTTTTTGAAGTAATTAGTCTGAAAACCGTAACCCACTAGGGTTGAATAAAGGCAAGAAAGTGCTCTATTATTTGTTCTAATTAAAGATGCTATGTAAAAGCAGCAAATACTCAAACTGCAGCAAACCAGAACATATTAAAACCAATATAGTAAGATAGCATAAATATAATATGAATACAATTACAATTCCATCTTTATTTAGAACAGTAAAATATGAGGCTGAGGTGCAGCTTATTAGTGGAGTATATGTCTAGCATGCCCCAGGACCTGGGGTGGAATCCCAGTACCACAAAAAAAAAAAAAACCAATAGAACTTAGCAGTTATCAAAATCCACATCAGGAACACCATGACTAAAATAATCACAGACATATCAGTGTAGACAAGATTTTCAGCTGAGAAGTTCTTCATTATAATTGAAGTCTGGAAAAAATGTATCATTGTCTACACGATCTACATCCCATGAGTCAGACTTGGATTCCCCTGATGCATGTGGAATTAAACTTAGAATCTGGGAGTGGTCGAGAAACACTTATAGTATCAGCACTCATGAAGCTGAGGGTCATGGGTTCCAGGCCGGCCTGGGATACATAGTAAGAGCTTGTGAGAAAAAGAGGGGGGGGAGGGGAGGGAGGGGAAGGGAAGAGAAGGGAGGACAACTTGGACATTGCTTCCCAAAATCTTAGCATTGAATTTAGTGAAAATATAAAATACGATTAAGTGTGGCCATCGGCGCCTGACTAAAAATACAGGTAAGCAGAGGTTTCTGTGTCATGTAGTCACTGAGTGAAAAGCAAGCGCAGGCAAGCAGGCAACATGCAATACATGCTCATGGACGCTCACCACAGAACACCAGATGGCCAGCCAAAGGACAAGTGTGCTATGAAAATGCACACTTGAAAAGAGCAGCTTATGGGGCTGGAGAGACAGCTCAGCAGTTAAGAGCACTGGCTGCTCTGCAGCAGACCTGGGTTCAATTCCCAGCACATGCCCACATGGTAGTTAACAACTATCTGTAACTCCAGTTCCAGGGGATCCAATGCAGGACATGGGTATGCTTACATACATGCAGGCAATACACTCGTACACATCAAATAAAAATATTTTTTTAATTAAAAAAAAAAAGGAGCAGCTTACAGCACAGTACTGTCACAAGAGAGTGGAAGAATGCTTTGGCATCAGGAGTGACTATGTATGATGGCGCTGCTACAGTGGATAACATCCCAAGCTGAGTGGCAGCAAGAGAAGGGAAGGAGGGATGGAGGGAGAAAGGAAGGGAGAAAGGAGGGGAAGGGAGGGGAGGGGAGGGGAAGGAGGAGAAGAAAGGGAGGGGAAAAAACAGAAATAAAAGGGGGACAGGTGAAGCAAATCTAACACAATCTTGCTGTTTGCTGAACCCAAGAGATGAACACAGGGTAGTTACTTATGTTACTCTTTCTACTTCTGTTTATTTTGAAATTTTTTGTAATAAATTTTCATTAAAATATTAAAATTACCAAGGTCGCTATGTCTCCACCAACAACTAGTCTATAATTTCACACACCAAACAAAAGTCCTGATGTGACAGTCCAATGTTTTCTGAGCAATTTTGAATGTGAAACAAGCCTACTTTATGATGCTCTTGAGATTTTGAGGTTTAACATGGAATAGACAATATGAAATTACCCATCAAATTATCGTTCTGATGACATCTTATTGTAATACAGAATGAACACAATTCCAATTCACTGAAACCCACTGCTGACAAAAAGATACCGGCCTCTCAAACATAAAAAGTAAAACCCTGGCAGGGTAGATTCAACAACTTTGAAAAAGACCCCTGAGGACAGAGGCAGGAATGAAGCCAACATTTCTTAATGAACACTTCACCATGGTTCTAATATTTTGGAACCATGTGAATGAATACATTGCCTATTCAAAAATAAAGTTTAATTTCAAATAAAAGCATTTCATTTATCTTTTTCATACTTGTAAGAATTTTGCTTTTCTATGAAAAACTTAAAACTTGAAAAGAACCAGCTGGGACAGTCCTTCACCCCACTGTCTTCCCGGCTACTCCCAGTCAGTCCGAAAATATGCTAATTCCCACCTGCTTCTAAACATGTTCTTTTCTTCTTTGGGCAGATACTTAAGAAACCTGAAATACATCTGAAGTACTCAACATAAAAGCAAACAAGTTTTTGTGGTTAGCCTGAAGAAAAACTGGATTCGAGGAAAGCCCCTGCTCTTTTTCATTTTGTGTCAAGCCACACATTTAAGTCTTTACTTGAAAGTAGATGACTTTAGCAAGGATTTAGCCATCTTCACTTTGTTCCATTCTTCTAACCTCCAATCCAAACCACAGTTAATTTCCCTTCCTTTCTCATGTGTTACCTGTACTCTGTGCCCACTTTTGTTAATCCATACAGCTGGAATTTCAACCTAAGCCCAATCCTGTAAACCACTTAAAACAGATGACACAAGGAAGCGGCCAGATAAGTCCAGACGGTTAGAAATCCTCATGGCCTCTTCTGGGCTACTTCCACATCCCATTCCCTGCTTCTGTTCTGAGTTAATAGTCAAATAAATGAACTGGAGTGCTGAAAAGCTACTGAAATAAGCCAAAGCTTCACAGGCCTTCAGGCAGCTAACACTTCCCAGCAGAGCTGATGATTTCAAAGTCAGTGAGGGGACTAGAAAGTTGATGAAGAGTACCAAACCCAGACTTCCCAAGGGTTACACTGCTTTAAACAAATCTGATGGATTTAAAAAGTGTCATTCCGGGGCTGGAGAGAGGGCTCAGTGGGTAAAGATGCTTACCACCAAGCCTGACAACCTGAGTTCAATCACTAGAGCCCACATGATAGGAGAGAACTGATGCCTCCAAGTTGTCCTCTGACTTCCACATGTGTGCTGTGGCATGTGCACGCATGTATGTGTATACACACACACACACACACACACACACACACACACACACACACACACTAAATGTTAAAAAAAATTAAATGCCACTCAAAACATAGTGACATTCTCTTCCTAAAAGTCCCATGGCCTGAAAATTATTATTGGTGCAGACATGAACTTGAATAATGACTCTCAAAGAACATGTGATTCTGAAATCCTCAGAGCTTCAAAGTAGACTAAGTGGTCAGTGAGATGGCTCAGCAGGTTGCCACCAAGCTTGAAGACATAATTCAATCCCCAGGATACACATGGTGGAAGGAGAGAACTGGCTTTCTCAAGTTGTCCACTGACCTCCACATGTGCACCATGGCCATCTGCTTCCCCCCACCCCCTAACCAACACATACACACAAATAAAGAAATGCATTTAAAAAGTAAGATAAAGTAGGGTTAGAAAGACATAACATTCTGAGAAAGAAACACGTCCACAAAACAAGGACATGTCATAGCCATCCAAGAATGGACCTGAGGAGGATCAAAGAAGGAGCCCAGAAGAGAGACTTGTTGCAGGGAAGCAGATGTACAACTGGGGAACTCAAGCAGTGGCATAAGTAATGCACAGAGTATTCAATGCATGTAATCACCCTTCCTCCTCACATGGACTCTTCTTAGAAAACTTACCGCTCTGCACGAATCACACCGCTATAGTAGGGGGGGTCCCAAGGCATCAGCTCCTGAGATGAACAATTGATTGTTATCAAATTATTGAGTCATAATTTTTAACAAAATCTTACCCAGCTTATACAGTGTAAGTCAGTTACTGTTAATGTAAATCAGGAAAAAAAAAAAAAAAAAAAAAAAAAAAAAACGTGTTTAAAACCCTAAAAAACACATGGCCTGGCAGATTTTGACTTCTCTGTAATCATTGTTTAGAGAGGTATAAATAAGGCAGAGCCCCAGAATTTGAGGCAAAGATAAATGCCATGCTAAAATGTAAACAGCACAAGTCAACATTAATGGCTTAAATCAGTCAGGATAAAATTTTTCCCAAAATGTAACCCACAAACAAATCCATAAAACACCACAAGCAAAATTAGGGTAGTAAAGTGAGAATAGGACTCTTTCAAATCTAAACAAGAAGCTTAGGATAGATTCCCCAAATTAAAGCAATACTTTAAAATGTATCTGAGGGAGAATTAACTTCAATCTTGATGAAGAAAGTATGTCATAGAGGCAGTAAGTGAGCCAAGCATGGCAGCTCAGATTTGTAACCCCAGCACTCGGGAGCCTGAGGTGGGAGGATTCAGAGTTCAAGGCCCTGGACTAAAGAGTAAGTTCCTGCCTCAAAAAGCAAAAAGTAATAGTTGTTTTTTGATGGCCTGTACAGAACACTGAACACTGAACCAAAGCATTAACACCTGCCTAGATGTCATTCCCCACCAGGAGCCCAGGGAACAATCATGGTTAGGTGCCTGCAGACATCTTGAGCTCAAAATTTCAGTCCTACAAGACTGCAGGCTGCATGAGGGAAAGGACTTTGCCTGTGTCGTTTCCCATTTCGTCCTGGCTCTACACACTGCCCACTGCATGGTAGTCACTCAGCAAGCCCCTGCTGAGTCCACAGCACCTCCCACACAAGACTGTTCCATACCCCTGAGTGTGAGGAACAGCACCAGGCTCTGGGAAAGAGCACAGAGCGTATTGGTTGCTCCCCCAAGACCACCACCCTTCCAGGTTTCAGCTCAGCAATCCCTGAGGGGCCAGGTGCTCCTTCCCACATTGCATGAGGACACCAGGCACAGCATGTGTAGCAACATAAGCGTGCAGACTCAAGGTCTCTGTACAGATGAGTACTGAAGGGCACAGATAGCATCCCTGGTCCTCCATCTTCCAGGGTTCAGTTCCCAGGCCCCATCTCCTCCAGTTGATGACTTTGCATCCTCTATAGATGCCAGAGTGTGGGCTTCCCACACATACACACAGGTAGACATCAGCCTTAGTAGAGCTGATGGTGTAGGAGTACAAAGTGACTTAATGAGAGAGCAGTATGGCATGTGTGTGATGCCATGCTGTGTAAAACACACCACATGATAGGGTTGGGGAGATGGTTCAATCAGTAAAAAGTGCTTGCCCTGCAAGCATGAGGATATGAATTCAACCCCTAGAACCCATGTACAAAGCCAGCTGTGGCAGTGCATTTTGTAATCCTAGTGCGAGAAAGCAGAGACAGGAAGATCCCTGGGGCTCACAGGCCAGTCAGCCTAGCTGAATCAGGCTTGATCAATCAGCCTAGAATCAGAGAGCCCCATGTCCCAATGAGAGACCATGTCTCAAAAATAGAGGCATACAGCTTGTAAAGAATGACACCTAAGGTTGATCCCTGGCCTGCACACATACACATGCACACACACATGCACACATGCACACACGCACACACACACACATACACACACACGAACCATGAGAAGGGTATTTTCTAAATATAGAAAAGAAAACACACCAAATTTATTACATGCCTAAGGCAAAGGTACATCATACTCTGAGGAATGTTTACATCACAGTGTGGAGTCAGGGACTGTTTGGAGGAGGAAAGCCCAAATTAAGTTTTGTGAGATGGCAGCAGTTAATCTAGGTGAGAAAGGAGGAGAGGGCTTGCTGTATACAGCACCCAGCAGCAACTGGATGCTTCCAGCAAATCCATATTTAAGTGTCTGGTATGTAAGGACCAGTGAGAATGAAAGAAAGTGAAGCAAAAGTGCCAAGACATCCCAGGTATCAGAGCATTGAGCCAGCCTCAAAGGGTAGAAGATGGGGCTACAGAACAGACAGGCCAGATCCTTCAGAGTTGGAGGAAGGAGCAAAGAAAAGAATCAGAAGAGAAACTTGACAGTCATAGTGAGCTGTGAAGAATTTTAAACAGAGCGACAAGATCAGATCTGCATTGCAGGAAAATCCTATTCAGTCCAGTAGGTGGATTTGGGAAAAATGGTTTCCATAGCTGCAGGCCTTCTTTCTCTATATTTTCCCCATCTCTATGGCTCTGGCAGGAACTATCAAATCAAGAATTACCAACAGTAACACACACAAAAGAATGGCTTAGACAACCACAGAAAGACCACAGTGCCTTTGAACTACATGGGAATGAGGGTCCTAACATCTGGAATCCCATCACTTTCAGAACATCCCATGTGCCTTGTTGGCATCCTGGTCACAGGGACACTGCTCTGTACTGTAAGATCATATGCTCACATGACCTTATGACTAAAAACAACACAAAATATATGGGTATGTTTTAGACTGGAGTAGGCTTTATCACTCAATAATGATCTACTCAACTAAAGACCACAAATTAGCAAACAAATAAATGAACACATAAACTGCAAAATCAACACTGAGGGTCAAATTGCCACCCGCTGATCAAATCTACAAAGAGCCTGATCAAAGATTGCCTCAAAATGGGAAGCTGACTTGCCTAGAATAGAAGCAGTGCATCCATAAATATACAAACCTTCTGTTAATATGCATATGTGCATGTGTACATGTGCACACTCACACACTCAGTATTTGACAAAAATGCTGGGTTTCCAAGCAGCTTCAAATTCAGACCAATGTATCAAATAGTTCAATACCTCACTTACTAAACCAAGTATTAAAAAACTACACAGACCTCCAGCCTATTGTGAGAAAGTCCTAGAATCAAGACAATGTGCCCACTGGTATAACAGCTGCATGACTATTATGGAAGTAACCAATTGCTTTCTGATGAAGTTGACATTGTTCCACAGGAAGAATGCATTGCAATTATGGTATTACAAACCTGATCAGAAAGCCAGGGCTGAACCTACTAGTGTTTCTTTACTAAATGGACACATCAAACTGCCTTCTAAATGCTTATGCTTATACCCATAGGTTAGTGCTGCCCTCAGCCTTGGTCAGAAAAGCCTCTATTTGCAGTGGGTGATAGTTAATGCCAAGATTCATAACTGGTCAAAGTACTGAGACTAAGTGACTGATGAATGTTCAGCCCTAAATAGGATATCCGTATCACCCCTTCTCCAATGACTGGAGAACACTGTGGAAGAGCAGGTGGAAAAAAAGTAAGAGCTGGAGGATGGGAAAGATTGTTGTGAAATGCTGTATCCTCTGAACATGACATGGCTGTGTACCCATGAACTTACAGCAACAGTGCATGCCCATATAAGACCTGCACAAGATTGGGCCATCACTCTTCCTTTGTGGATGAGGGAGGGGCTAATAAGCCTTTATCTCTCCCTGAAGCACTATAGGCAGCTAATGGCTGCTAGGGAAAGAGAATCATAGTCCTCAATGATAAATTGTCCTGGCTGGGGTAAATAATCCCACTCATGCTCACATAGGCAACCCTAGGTAAATGCAGGAGGAGACGTTGGGAAGAAGGGGTTTGGTGGGAGCAGGAAAGGAATAGAGAGAGAGAATGGTGGGGGGGCGCTATAAGCCAAGTATTTTGTGTGTGAAATTTAAATTTAAACTTTTTTCTTTTTCTTTTTTCTTAATCTTTTTGATACAGGGTCTCCCTGTAGCCCCAGCTGGGCTGGAACTTGCTATATAGACCAGGCTGCCCTTGAACTCACAGAGAACTGCCTGCCTCTGCCTCTTGAGTGCTGGGATCAAAGGTATGTGCCACCAAGTCAGGTTTAAATTTTAAATGTAAACAAAGAAAGCCCGAGAATCAAGAGATAATGCTTTCACTTGATAGTGTGTTTATATTATAAAAATAATTCCAACATATTTACTTACAGAATTTTGAGGATTTAGTTTCATCTTCATTCTTCGCATCATCTCAAAATCTTTTATAGTTCTGTAAAACAGGCCTATCATTACTTGTTAGAAAAAAAAATTAAAAATTATAGTAAGAAGAGGTATGTCTTTCAATACAAAAATAAACTGGCATTAATGCAACTTTTACTAAAGTGTTTTAAGAAACAACATACAAATCAGTAAGTCACCACAATCTGTACCTTAAAAAGCATAATGCTGATACATGCCTTAAAAGTACTACAGCTTGAAAAAACAGAAATAGGCAAAGCATCAGCCAGCAAACTTTAACTCCAGACTGTTGCTCCATCCTTAAAAGTTAAGAAACTAACAAGTACCCTCTAAAAAATATCAACATGGATTACATTTCTAGTTGCTACTCACCATTTTTCCCTTCAGAAAAACTCTGGGTAATAATACAATAGGTGATTGATATTTGTAAAATATGAAGTATCTTTTAGAATTAAATAGCCACAAAATTATGAGGGTATGTTTGCTGAAAATATAGTCTATAGCTACATATAAATGGAGAATCCAATTAACATTCCCTCTTCATTATAGAGAAAACACAGTGGTTCACAGGGATTAAAAAGATTCTAGAATTGATAAACACAAGCCAAATGAGAAAGGGATTCAAACCCATTAGTTTAATCCAAACCAGAAACCTGAATGTGCTGGATCATTTTGATCAACCTGACACAAAATAAGTCACCTGGGAAGAAGGAACCTCAATTGAGGAATTTCTACCATCAGACTGATGTGTGGGCAATCTGTGAGGCATTTTCTTAATTGTTCAATGATGTGGGAGAGTCCAGTCCACTGTGCGCAATGACATCCCTAGGTAGGTGGGCCTAGGCTGTATAAGAAAGGTAGCCAACCAGAGGGAGCTAGCCAGTAAACAGCATTCCTCCATGGTCTCTGCTTCTGCATCCAAATTCCTGCCCTACTTATGTTTCTGCCTTCACTTTCCTCTACGATAGACTATGATCTGGACTTCTAAGTCAAATAAACCCTTTCCTCCCCAAACTGGTTTTGGTCAGTTTTTTCTTTCTTTTTTTTTTTTTTTTTAACATATTCAGTAACACACTCCAGAGCAAGAGTCCCTCTCTTTCACAAGTGGGTGCAAGTTTTTAGGTTCACAGTTGAGTTAATACAATTATATAATATTGAACTCAGTATAAGGCCCCGGAGAGAGAGGCCTGCGGGTCTGGTCAGTTTTTTCTTACTAGAGAAATTAAGCACTTAACAAACACTGAATGTGTTGCTATGGTCAAAAAAGGCAAAGAAAACTAGTGAGCTCTGAGAGAGGAGGAGACCCAGGGCCTGGATTCTCGAACCAGAGCACAAATCTTCCTGGAACTCTTGGTATAGCAGGGCAGGATGGGCTGCCCCTCCTCCACCTTCTGAAAGAGTGCTAGTCAAGGATAAGGGCTGGGTGAAAGGGAGGAGCAGAGACAGCAGCAAAAGGAAAGCACGTGACATTACAAGCATTGAGGCAGAGATTTTTATAACAAAAAAAATCTGGGGCTGGAGAGATGGCTCAGCAGTTAAGAGCACTGGCTGCTCCTGCCAAGGACCCAGGGTCAATTCCCAGCACCCACATGGTAGCAAACAACTGTCTGTAACTTCAGTTGCAGGGAAATCCAACACCTCTTCTAACCTCTGAGGGCACTACACAACACAGGTGCACTTACACACATGCAGGCAAAACACTCATACACACAGCCTAAAGAAATCCCCCAAATCAAAATCCAATTAACCCACCACATCCAACTGCCTCCTGTATTTAGCCCCAAAAGAGAAATGCTACTTTATGAATTTGTTATAAAATTAGTGCTACGGGTTAAAATAAAATGGTTTCAAGAAGGTTTGGGGAACATGGTTAAATCAGATATAAATAAGGGGCTGACTAAGACAGTGGGTCCTTGAGGGGACTGGCACAGGTAAGACTGGCACCTTAAGGGGCTGCTTCTCACAGGCGAAATCTTGGGCCAGTCGGGCCAAACTTAACTCACATTCAAACTTATATTCTTAGTAAGTCATTTCCTAGTTTTTAAAGTAGAACAAGTCCTTTAAAAAGAAACCTAACTGCAGGAATTAGGGAAATGACACAGAAGATAAAGCACTTAGAGCACAATATGAGGACCAGAGATGGGATCTCTAGGACCCATGTCAATATCAGGTAGATCCTCAGAGCAAGCTGGCTGGCTAGACTAGATGAACTGGCCAGCTCTGAGTTCCAGTGAGAGACCCTACCTCCAATATATAAGGTGAAGGGTAACAGAGGAAAATACCCACAACCTCAGGCCTCTACATGCACATGTGTGCATATGTACTTGCACACACATGCACCTAAACACACATAAACAAGTGCACGCACATGCACACACACACGCACACGCACGCACACACACACACACACACACACAATTAATTTCATAACCAAACGCTAAACAGAATAAGAACTGACCTTTCAGAAAGCTTGTCAGAGAGTTTCTCAAGGAACTGCATGACAGTCTCTAAAAATGAAATAAAAAAAAAACCCTTCAACTTTGTGAACATGAACATATGTTAAAATTACATATATTATCACACATGTCAAGTCTATGCCAAAGGGATGATTTGGGTTTTTTTTTAATTTTTTTTATTTTATGTGTATGAGTGTATTGCCTGTGTGTGTGTAAGTGCACCTGTATTGTACAATGCCCTTAGAGGTCAGAAGGTGTTGGGTTTCCCTGGAACTGGAGTTACGGACAGTTGTTTGCTGCCATGTGGGTGCTGGGAATTGAACCTGGGTCCTTGGCAAGAGCAGCCAGTGCTCTAAACCACTGAGCCATCTCTCTAGCCCCTAAAGTGATGATTTTCAAAAGGAGGCAGAGGGGCTTTCATATGCTCAGTTTATTTTCATTATCTCTAGATGCCAAAAATCTACTGGGAAAAACAAACAACTGTAGGAGTAATAATCCAAAGCCTTAGATTATACCCCAAATTAAAGCATTAATGAGAGGCAAAAGTTTAAAACTCTAAACATTCCATCCTAATGTATGGAAAAAACTATCACAGACAAGCCTAATTTTTTCCTAAGTTTCAAGATCACTAGACTCTGGTTTGAGTCTAAACATCAGCGAATACCTGTAATCTTCACACCTGGGACACTGAATCAGGAGTCAAGGCCAGCCCACATGGGCTACAAAGTGAGACCTTCTCTCAAAAATACTCAACATCTTTAGCTACTAGGGAAATGCAGATCATATCCCACCTATCCTAGTTTGTTTCTCCATTGCTATGACAAAACACTGTGACCACTACCAACTTGGTGAGGAAAGGGTTTATTTAGCTTACATCTCCTGGGTCACAGTTCATCACCAAGAGAGTCCAAGATAGGAACTCAGGGTAGGAACCCAGAGGCAGGAGCTGGAGAACAGGCCATGGAGGAACACTGCTCACTGGCTTGCTCCCTGGCCTAAGTTCAACCTGATTTGTTATACAATACACAACAACCTGACCACAGGTGGCACTGCCCACCATCCCCACACCATTCAACAATCAAGAAAATGCCCCACAGACATGACCACAGGCCAATCCACCAGAGGCAATTCCCCAATTGGCAAGGATGGGCAGGGAGGAACCCTTGTCACTGCTGGTGGGCATGTAAACTGGTGCAGCTACTACAGAAATCAGTACAGAGATTCCTCAAAAATCCAAAGAACTACCATGAGATCCCTATACCAGTCCTGAGTATGATAACCAAAGTCACTGCTGGTATACCACCGACACACTACTCACAACAGCCAAATTATAGCAACAGCCTAGGCTCTATCAACAGATAATGGATAAAGAAAATGTGAGGCATATGATGAAGTTTTATTCGGCCAAGAATGAAATTATGTCATTTGCAGGAAGAATGGATGGAACTAGAGATCATCTTTTGAGGACATTTTTATTCTTTCAGAATTTCATACATGCATACAATGTATTTTGATCATACCCACCCCCTACTGTCCCCTCCAGCTCCTACCACACCCTCCCATGTCCCTCTCCCAACCTCATGTCCTCAGATCATCTTATTAAGCAAAAATAAGTTCAAAGTCAGAAACACAAATATCACATTTTCTTCCATGTGGAACCTACATTTTATGCACAGATATATACACAGACAGGTACACACAGACACACACACACACACCATGAAAACAGAAAGGATACAATTTGGGAAGACTAAGAGGACTAGAGGGAGGGGGTAAATAGGAGAAGGTAAATGGGAGTGAATATGGTCAGAGTTCATGACATATTTAAACAAATATGTGACTATGAAACCCATTAGTTTATACAATATATACTAATAAATATATAAATAATATCAGTACAGTTTAGAAATATAATTTACCAAAAATTAAAAAGCAACGTTTTCTGGATAATTACTATTATTTTTACATACAACTGTAGAACAATCTATTCAGTAGCAATACCAAAAGAAAATGACGAAATGAGAACCATCAGCATTCTTAGTTCTAATAGGATTTTAAGTGCCTAGTGAACCGCTTCAGTGGCAGTCATCAGATGTGAGGAATCCACGAGGCAATGCAGCAGAATCATCACCATTTCCCATGAAGAAGTGCTTCATGGGCGTGTTTTCACTTAGTGCTTTCTGCCACTGACCTCAGTGTGCAGTGCTTTCATGTGTATTTTGGTTGGCCACAAACACTGTTTTTATATCTTCCAGATGAGCTTTTATACGGGTTTAAGTTTCTCTCCCTCTCTTTAAGCTGTATCTCCTTTCTGAGTGAAATAAAAGGCTAAGCAAAGAACGGGGTGAACATAAACCACGAAGCCACAGGGTCCGTGCCACTGTCATACTGGACAAGTCTCAGTAGACTCAGTCTGAAGACACAGCCTCATGTGCCAAGTGAAGTGGCATCAGGAAGAGTAGGAAGATAAACCGTCCCATCCTCAGAGCTGAAATCCCATTTCAGCAGATCATTCTAGTTCCAACGTAGGATAGTTTTCAGATAGATCATTTATTTCTAGATAACCATATTTTATTAATAGTCACCCATTTTACTTTTCTGTTGCTATGCAAAAAAAATCTGCTTCATTTAACCATATTAAAAAGTCTGGATGAAGGGCTGGGGAGATAACTTAGTAAAGTGCTTGCCATGCAAGCATGAGGACTTGAGTTCAATCCTCCAAAACCCACAGAATAAATACCAAGTGTGGTGGCAAATGCCTACAGCCCCAGCACAGAGAGGCTCCCTGAGGCTCAATGGCCAGCTAGTCTAGTCTAATCTGTGAGGTTCAGGTTCAGTGAGAGATCATGTCTCAAAAACAAGGTGGAGAACAACTGAGGACGACATCCAACACATAAGGACTGAATGTGAGATTCCCCCAAAATAAACCCAAGCCTTTGCTCACGCACAGTGGTTTCTAATTCGCCCGTCATAACCTGGGTTACGCTCTCCTGCCACCTTGTTCTTGGTGAACACTTACCATTCCTTCAAGTGTCACTACCTTCCTGAAACTCACCAGCCACCTAATCAGCTGGCAGACACCCACCTGCTAAAATTCCATGGCACTGTTGTGTGTGTACTACTCACCTGACAGTAAACTATAAATCCTCAAGGACACTATCACATCTTATTGACTAACCATCCCATCTCTCTTCAAAATGTCACCATACTAACACCTGGGCAAATCGCTACTGAAAGGATGTTTTAGTTGCTGTGAGTTCAGTGAGCTCTAATAATGCTGGCTGGCAGATGACCAGTTCCCAGTCCTCTCTACACTGACCTGCCCCTCAGCATCCGTCAGTGCATTCCTCCCTTCCCCTTAAGACCTCTTCTGATCGCTTCCCGTAGGACACACTCTGCTTCCTTTCCTTCACTGCCCACCACTTCTCAGCAGCACTCATGGTTCCTCACAGCCAGACCTCAGAGTAGCCCAGAGCCCAGCTTGATCTTCTACACTTTAAATACAGTCTGTTAGTGACCTCATATACTCCCATGCCTTTAAATAAAGTCTCAAACTTACATCCACAGCTCAGAACTCTCAGCCCCGCAGCCATGTGCCCAATATGATCACTTGCAAGTCAACAGCATCTAGACCTTATCTTGAAGCAAACCAAGCTCCAGTCCCCAACACAGCAACTTACTGTCTTTCTAGTTGCCCAAGTTAAAACACCATCAGATTCAAACCATCATCTCTACCCAGAAGCTAGGGCCCACTGACCAGCTGCTCTGCTGCCGAAGATACCATCATCTCTCCTCCTGAGTGTCACAATAGCTTCCACATGCTCTCAGCTCACCCAGCCATAGTCTAGTCTGGCTATCAACTACATGTCATTACAATGTGAGTCAGATCACTTCCCCTTTCTGCCCAAGCCCCTCAAAGCCCTCTTATCTCACTCCAGTCAGAGGCTTCCTTCAAGTCGTCCCTCAGCATAGCTCTTTCTCCAGCACACTCTACTTTGGTTTTTCCTCAAATGTGTCAGGCACGTTTCTTCTTGAGAATTTGGTACATGGTTGCAGCTTCTCCACAGTAGGCTGCAGATTCATTCCGGTGCCCTGCCAGGCCTACCCTCACCCACACCACATTCTGTATACACATCACATTCTGTATCAACTTCCCTGGTGGCGGCAGCACCACTGTACACTCCGTGCCATCTCCCCAAACTGTTCTGCATCTCCACAGCTTGCTAACTAACCAACAGCACACCGGCCACATGCCTGGCCCACATGTTTTGCCCTTCCCTGGGTCTCTTCTAAGTATGCAAACTATACAAAGCAACCACTACCATTTCCTGCCACAATAAATTGCTCCCAGAGTTTGGAAGAAAATGTGACAGACAGGAGCTGAGGAAAACATTGATACAGAGGTGAAAACTGAAGAGGAAAAAGATGGAAAGGATCCCATGTCAACTCTCAGCGGCTTCAGAGATGTGTACAGGTTCCAACTGTGCCACTTCTTAGGAATATAGCCAGCCTTGATTCCTTCTGTGACACATAAGCTAATTCCTGCTTCACAGGGCTATCAGGGAGTTAAATGGCACATAATGACACAGTAAGCACTGAATAATATTCAAGTGTCATTATTGCATATAACATAAAAGCAAAAATATTCTATTTTAATAGAATTGACAGTGACTACAAAAAAACCACAAAATTAAACTGGGCATGGTAGCGCACTCCTATAATCCAACTCTAGCGAAGTGAAGGCAGGAAGGTCAGGTTTGAGGATAACCTAAGATACATAAGACCTTGTCTAGAATAAAGAAAAGAGGGGTCTGGAGAGATGGCTCAGTCGTTAAGAGCACTGGCTGTTCTTGCAAAGGACCTGGTTCGATTCCCAGTACCCATGTGGCAGCTAACAACTGTCCATAACTCCAGTTCCAAGGGATCAGACACCCTCTTCTGACCTCCATGGGCATTGCATGACATGGGTGCACTTACATCCATGTAAGCGATACGTTCATACACTTATACACATAAAACAAAAATAATAAAATGTTTTTAAAAAAGAAAAAAGAGCCAGGTGTGGTGGCGCACACCTTTAATCCCAGCACTCGGGAGGCAGAGGCAGGTGGATCTCTGTGAGTTCAAGGCCAGCCTGGTCTACATAGTGAGTTCCAGGACAGCTGAGGCTACAGGGAGACCCTGTCTCAAAAGACCAAAAAAAAAGAAAGAAAAGAAAAGAAAAAAGAGAAAGATAAAATAAGATACATAATATATAAAATCTATATAATATCAATTTAGGAGTTAAGTTATATGAAACCATTTTAAGAACTAGCTTTTAAGATATAACCTGGTAGTAGAGTATATGCCTAGCATGTGTGAGGCTCTGGGTTCCATACCCAGCATGGGGGGAGGGGGGAGGGGTGCTTTAAAGGTTCAAGGACAAAGAAGTCCAAGGACAGGAGATAGTATAGCATAGAGCTTATCATGGAAGGGTAAGTTTGGAGCCACACCTCGAAAAGATGCAACTACAATCCAGGACACCCATCTGGAGTCTAACAGGTCAAGGGCAATATAAAAGCTAAGACTGGAAAGGTGGAAGGGAACTCTGTGGAACAAGTGAATGTGCTAGTAAAAGAAGGGATGGAGACAACAAAGAATGATGGAAGTCCTCCACAGAGTCCTTCTCAGTGCTCCCTCTATCCTCAACAGCATGTGCCGGTGCTCCACCAGAAACTCTGCACTGCCTCCTTCTCCTCCCTCTCCACCAATTCCCAAGTCATCACTCTGACCTCCCAAGTACATCTTGAACCTAAACAGCTCTACCATCTTCAATACCCTACTGCTGATCCACTGCCTAAATTATAACGGAACCACTTAAAGGCCCCAGAAGAAGCTTCTGTACACTCCTATTACTAGCTTTGAGCAATACCCTCTCTTAGATATCCTGAATCTAAGGACCTCAGCACAGCACAAAGCCAGTTTATCAAACCCAAAGAACACTCCCTTGCCCACCCAACACAGACCTTCCAGGCAGCGTATACACAAAATAAAATACCTTCACTGAACACAATACCTGCCAAATTATTAGCTCTATTTAAAGATGATTTCTATCAAAAGGTGTTGAAAATCTCAATAAATGGTTTTCTGAATGTGCTAAAAATAAAACATTGTTGGGCATGTAGGTGATGTCTGTAACTCCAGCATTCAGGACGCTCAGGCAAGAAGATCCTGAATTCAAAGACAGGTAGGTTATGTGACAAAACTGTTTTTAAAAGAAATCATTTATAGCAATTTTAAAATCAGAACTTCAGTGCTGGGAGTATAGTTCCCTTGGGTAGATTTTGAGCACTGCCAAAATCCATCCATCCATCCATCCATCCATCCATCCATCCATCCATCCACCCAAAGTTCCATTTCATAAAAAATCCTGTTTTGTTCTACAAAGCTGGATAAACAGGCTTACCTGGATTTTGAGCTATGGTTCCGCGGAGGGCCCTGTGGGAAAATGTAGAATACCCCACTAACTTTGCCAGAAGATCCCTGCTGCTTAGCAATTCTTCTAAGCACTTCAACTGACCAGCACTGGGATAAAGAAAAATTTTATAAGCAGCTTCTCGAACCTATGTTTTAAAAAAGGGAAGAAAAAAAAGTCAAAGATCTAAACATCACAACACAAAGTCCCACACAACAGCACAGTCCAGTGCTCCCCACTTTATCTGCAGACAACCATCACTTTCAAAGTATATGAACAATTTACACCAGGTAACAGAGCTTTTATGGGGTGCAACAGCACACCAACAAGAGTTCTTTGGAAGGACAAACGTTTAGCCAAAGCTTTGTCTCTGTACCATAACACATCGAATGCAGAAGAAAGGACTTCACAAATTAAAAAGAAATCTCAGAAACCTACAAGGTCAATCGCTGTTTACTGTATTCCAAAACAAAGTCTTTAAGAGACATGAATTTTAAACATTTTCATTACTCAAAGCATTTGTAAAATTAATAATGTCACAAATTAAATTTTCAGGGCTTAGTAATACTGAAAGATTTTTTTTTTTTTTTTTTTTTTGGTCTTTTTGAGACAGGGTCTCCCTGTAGCCCCAGCTGTCCTGGAACTCACTATGTAGACCAGGCTGGCCTTGAACTCACAGAGATCCGCCCACCTCTGCCTCCCAAGTGTTGGAATTAAAGGCATGTGCCACCACGCCCAGCAATACTGAAAGATTTTTAAGACTACAGTATTATATTATTAATTGATTTGTGGTTAAGACAGCAGCAAAAGACATCCACTGGTGTTCAGATGGGAGTGACGCAACAAAGTAAACAGAGGACTCCTACCAAGTCATCCCCTGCTTCTGCATGCAGACCATCAATTACTACATGATTCCTGTCCCGGGCAAAGTGGTGCTGGATATGCTCTGGTAAGAGCTGCTTCTGAATCTTGTTGGGAGAGTGGCTTCCCATGAGAAATGTACTGCTCAAATCCAAGATTTTAACATTGAGGTCCACCGCTCTTCTACGCTAAATGTGGAAGGAGGAACAGTATTTAAAAGTGAATCAAATTAGTATTTCAGACTAACCAGACAATTTCTAGTGGTAGGAAACCAACATCTATATTACTGATATAGAACACTTACGTATAATGTAGAAAGTAAAACAAAACAAAACAAAAAACACTTTCATTATGTGAGCCAGAGGAAATTAGGCAATGAGACAAAACAGTAGCAAACACACAACAGGAACCCAGATTGAAGGTCCTAATTTGCACATATGCACTGCTGTAGAAAGACAGTAACAAAGTCATTAACAGCAGACCCGAGCACGGCACTCGTCACCCCATTCAGGAAGCTAAGGCGGAAGGATCATAGGCTCAAGGTCAACCTACCTAGGCTATGAGTAAGACCCTGACTCAAAAACGTGGGCGGGGGGCAGGGGGCAAGACCTGAGAGACTGAGGGACTGAAGCCTGTGGGGCAAGGCCATGTCTTCTGTACTATGTGGTACATGGACCTTGTATCTACCAGCCCTTCACAGTCATGTATGATGTGACTGGTGATGAGAGTCATGTGAGTTTTAGCTTGCCAGTCACATCTTCAATCTTCTGAGAAAATGAACACTAAGAAATCACTTCAAAATTTTGGGTTCTGAGAAAAGGTCTCATGTAGCCCAGGCTGGCCTATAACTTACTATGTAGCTGAGGATGAACTTAAACTTTTGAATCTTTTGCTTCTATTCCCCTCACCCCCGACCAAATGCTGGGATTCCAAGCTTCCACCACCATGCCTGATTTCTGCAGTGCTGACGACTGAACCGTCATGTGCACTAGGCAAGCACTCTACCAACTGAGCTACATCCCCAGCACACACCACAAACACTTTTAAGATGAAATATAAACTGCACCCCATGTAATTTATCAGGTATATTAAAGGACGAGATATACATTTTCAGTTATCCCTAATAAGAAACCCAGTCAGTCAGGGTTCAGAGTGGCTCAGGATGGGTTTCAGGCAATCATCCATTCTGCCTTTATCATTAAGCAGCACTAATCTTTTTAAGAAAAACATGTAAGATGTAAATGTGTGCTTGACAAGAATATGAACGGGCTGGGGATGTAACTCAGCTGAGAGTGCCTGCCTATCATGCACAAAGCCCTGGGTTCAATCCTCAGCACTGTGACTGAGCATGGTGGTGCATACCTATAATCCCAGCACATGGGGGCTGAATGTTGGAGGATCAAAAGTTCAATGTCATTCTCAGCAACATAGTGATTCCATGCCTCTCTGGGCTACATGAGACCCTGTCTCACAAAAAACTTGAAACAAAATTAAGAGTTACATAAATCAGGTCTGGTGGTATGCACATGGAACCCCAGTGCTGGGGCACGCTAAGGCAGGGATCTCACATTTTCAGGCCTGGACTACACAGTAAGTTTCAGGCAAGCCTGGACTGACAGCAAGGCTCTTGCCTCAAAAAAGTAATTTAAATAGCCAGGCTTGGTGGCACACACCTTTAATCCCTGTACTCGGGAGGCAGAGATAGGCGGATCTCTTGTGAGTTCAAGGCCAGCCTGGTCTACATAGCGAGTTCCAGGACAGCTGGGGCTACAGGGAAACCCTGTCTCCAAAAGACAAAAAAAAAAAAAAAAAAAAAAAAAAAGGAAATTTAAAGATACAATAATAACCCAAAGTTTTCAATATAGAAAATTCAAATTATGGAAAAAATACTGCCAGGGCCTTGGAGATCTTTAGTCCAACCTTTTCTGTACAGTCATGTATCCCCACCTAGTGGTACTCACTGGAATAACAAAAATGATAAATAGCAGCTAGACATTATAGTTCGTAAATTTTCTCCAAAGCTTTTTATGAAAACAAATTACAAGGTAATAAAATGAATTATCTCCAAAACTTTGTCACCTGGTAAAATCTCTGGAAAATCAAAAACTGAGTTCACTTTCTGACTTCAATAATATGCTAGGCACATCATTTCTTCATTCTAAAGTAACAGTTCATTATACAACACTCTGAACTCCCAAAATCCTGTGAAATTGCTACAAATGATTCTTAAACATCTATTAAATTTTAATTCTTCAATTACATCATAAGACCTTAAGATAAAAAGTTAAACTGTCAAGTACAGAGATTCATCTCTGTAACTAGTCACTCAGGGAGCACTGATGCAGGATTGCTTGAGCCCGGCAATCCAAAGCCAGCCTGGGAAACACAGCAAGTCCTATTTCAAAAACAAGCCTACAAAGAACACAAGCTTTAATGGTTTGTAAATCCTATTTCTTTGGTGGTTTGCTTCACAATCTCATGTCTATAACGTAATGTTTGTCCCAGTAGGGCACCTTGAAGAACAGACATGAAGTCAAGAGGGAAGACTATGCTCAATCTATTTATCTTTCATCTTTAACAGTGACGAGCCCCCAGGGAGTTACTTGGTAGAAAAGAACAAGCATGCCTTAAGAACACCTGGTCGGTGACGACAGCAGCTCCATGCTGGTCAAACTCCACACTTAGGAAAGTTTCAGAAGCATCTTTTTTTTTTTTTTTTTTTTTTTTTTTTGGTCTTTTTGAGACAGGGTCTCCCTGTAGCCCCGGCTGTCTTGGAATTCACTATGTAGACCAGGCTGGCCTCAAACTCACAAAGATCCACCTGCCTCTGCCTCCCAAGCGCTGGGATTAAAGGCATGCACCACCACGCCTGGCTACCTTTAACAAAGATTCTGTAAAATATTACAAATATTTACATTCATTTCTAACTAGAAATGTTACTTCCAAAGATAACAAACTAGGAGTTGAGGCTGGGGCTCAGTTGGTAGAGTATTTGCCTAGCATACTTAGGAAGCCCTAGGTTTAAACTCCAACATCACATAAACCGAGTGGTGGCAAAGGCATGTAACACCAGCATTTGGGAGGTGGAAGCAGGAAGATCAGAAGTTCAAGCTTATTCTTGGCTACACAGTGAGTTCAAGGTCAGCCAGTGATACAAAAGACCCTGCAATCAATCAATCAATCAATCAATCAATCAATCAATAGACACCAAACTCAATGCTGACTAACATTAGAATGACTCATCATACACTCATGTGGTATTTTACTGAGTCCCAAACTGGTATGCATTAAAAAAGATGATCTGCAGTAGGCACAGAGAAGATGCAGAAGGTTTGTGATTCAATTCCCAATCCTGGGAGTGGCATAAGATCCCCATGTGCCTATAATCCTAAGCACTTGGGAGGCTAAAGCAGACAATCACGAGTTTGAGGTCAGCCTTGGCCTACATAGTGAGACCTTATATCAAGAAATGAAGAGCCAGGCATAATAGTACACGCCATTAGTCCCAGCACTCTGAAGGCAGGGGCTGGTGGATCTCTGTGAGTTCAAGGTCAGTTGGTCTACAGAGCCAGTTCCGAGCCTAAATAGTGAGACCTTGTCTCAAAAAAAGAAAAACAAAAGCTTTACCTTTTCTTCATCTAGATGGATTCCACTGATTTCAAAATCAAACATAAACAGTTCAGCCACGCGCCTAAAATAAAGTAAGTCCCAAGTTACAAAAGGCAATAAAAATTACCAACAAAAATCAGTATTTAAAATCAGTACTTATGAAATTTATTGTCAAAATCTGTTTCAACAGACCTACACAAGCATACATACAATCTGTTTGTTTGCTTTAAACAAGTGGCTAATATTTCAGTTAGGCAAAGCGCCCAGTTGACTGACAGCACTACACGCTGGTCATGTAAGAGCTTACTCCCTGTGCAGAGAAGGCAAAGCTCTGAGAGCCATCTTCCTAATTATCTCAACTCCATCCAAACCCCAGTGATTAGTAACAGAAAACAATTTACACTTGGACAGGATTTCAAAGGCCCCTCACAGATTTTCAGGTTTTCTTCCAACTAGAGGCGGCTAATGTGTAAAGAGTTGCACCAGAAGCTGGGTTCTTGGCTCCAGAGAACAGTTTTCTATGTCTGCCATGAGGCTTGGAACAAATTTCAAGTTTAACACCTTTTTCTGTCAACAATATGGTTCTTTAAATTACTCGTTTCTAGAGGTAGGTTAACCAAGTATTTGATACATCCTGACTCTGGCTTTTCAAAATGGTGTATTTACCTTCCTGATAATGTCATACAATATTTATTTATTTATTTGTTTTGGGAGATAGGATCTTGCTATGCAGACCAAGCTAGCTTCAAACCTGTGATCTTCCTGCCTTAGCTTCTTGAGTGTTGGGATTGTGGTGTGCACAACCACACTTCATGCAAATACATCTTGAATGACAAGAATTAAAGCTATTCCACACTTTTTATCATGATATTTTTAAATTTTTAATAACTACATGATTGGAAGAAGCATTTCACTACAGCTTTAACATATTCAGTTACACACTCCAGAGCAAGAGTACATCTCTTTCACAGGTGGGTGCAAGTTTCTAGCATCGCAGTTGAATTAGTACAATTATACAATATTGAACTCAGTATAAGCCCTGTAAGACATAAAACTGGATGAGTTTTTAACCTTTAAAAAAGATCTCCATTTCATTTTAGAATATATTGTTCCTTGAAGAAAGACTTGATATTGCTACTAAGACTGAGATGTTGGTGCATGCATCTCTAATCTGTATGTGTGATTATTACTAGTCATAATCGGTTGCACTTGGATCCTTGGTGCCTGTGATGTCTATAAAGTCATCGGGTAGATTTCAATGGTAATGTTTATCACCTCTACTAATTAACGTGATATAAATTTCCATGCTTCCTCCTCAATATAATACATTTTTTAAAATTGATTTATGTGTGTGTATATCACACAGAACATCCCAAACCATCTTATTCAACTATACACCCACTTCCCAGATGGCACCCTCCCATAGCCTCCCTCCCCTTACTAGAGACCTTATACTCTGATATCCCTGCTACTGTCTGCTGTGTTGTTGGCACCCCCAGCCATTCTCCACTACTTGTCCATCTGGTGAATCTAGTCAGCCTATCTAGAGGTCTGTTTTAGGAGGGTCAGCTGTTCCTCATCTAGCGGTACTCAGCTATCAATATTCCTTTAGATAAGATTGGGGTCTGCTGTTCACTTTCCCAGTTCTATGCTGGGTTACTATCTGGGAGACACTTTGGCTACCCTGGCCAACAGAAAAGAAGGTATCTCCTATCAGGCATTGTTGCTTGTTATGTAGCCTTTAGTTTTACATATGGACTCTTAAAAAATTATATTGGTCCCTTTAATCTTTGGCAATACTTTCCTTTTGGATGTTTAAGGCCATACAATTGGCCAGATAAATCAATTTATTTTCACTCTTAAGGTCATTTGAGGATCTGTTCCTCAGGGGTCACATGGGCTCAGGAGGAGCCCCTGGCTCCTTTCTTTTACCAGTTCTGCCTATGTGAAGACAAGTCAAAGGTCCTGCTCAACAATGGCTGGTTACTCTTAGAAGCATGGAGGAAATAATCCCTGTGTTGACCCTCTTCTTTGTAGACTGGACACTGGTTCAAGTCCATCTGGTGGGGTCTCCTCAGCCTGTTGATCAAGAGGACAGGTGACCCACCACAATTACAGGACCTTTTTGAGAGATGCTCATAGTCTCCTGGAATTAGTTGACCTAGGAGGACAAGGAGCAAAAACTGTTCTTTATGTCCCTCTGACCAAATTATTATAGGCCTCAAAGTATGTCTGTTAAACATCCAAGAAGGTTAGTTCCACCAGTTCTTTACTTTTAATTACTGTGGGTCATGTAGCTAAATCTTGGGCAAAGACCAATTGTTCTCAGATACACCCTACCTAGACATATATTTCTTGATCTGGAATGTATAATTTGTCAGTAAGTTGTAGGAGTAATATGGTTCCCTCTGGTTTTCAAAACTAGCTAGGCATTATTTATCTCTCTCATTGTCTCACCCCTGCAACATGCTTTTCCCACTTAAGGTGCCCCCATTTCCACTCTTTCTCCCTTAATAATACCCTTCTCCTATGGTCGTACCTCTCTTGAGCTCCTTCTTTCCCTTTATCCCCTCGGTTCCTTGTATACCCTTCCCTCCCCCTCCCTTAAACTAACCCAATTTTTATCCATATCTCCCTTATTAAGGCCTGTTTCCTACTGTTCTTCTCTTTCAGGATCTTTCTTTTTCCTTTACCTCCCTGTTTCCTTTCCATTATCCTGGTTTCTGTAGTTATGTCTGGTTGCTTACTTATTTATCAGAGTCTGATCCTAGGATCCACATATGAGGGAGAACATATGTCGATTTTTTTTCTGAGTCTGTGTTACTTCACTTAGTGTAACAGTTTCTAGTTCCATCCATTTACCTGCAAATTTCATGATTTCATCTTTCTTTACTGCTGAGTAAAACTCCATCGTATAAATGAGCCACATTTTCATTATCCACTGGTAAATTGAAGGACACTTAGGTTGCTTCCATATCTTAGCCATCATCAAAAGAGCAGCAACAAATATGGATATACAAGTATCTCTGCAATAGGATGAGTTCTTTGGGTATATGCCAAGGAGTGGTATAACTGAGTCAAATGGTAGGTTAATTTGTAGCTTTTTAAGAATTCTCCACACTGCTTTCCATAGGGGTTGAACCAGTTTGTAACCCCACCAGCAGTGGATGAGTGTTCCCATTAGCGTTCCCTTTTGTCCATATCCTCACCAGCATTTGGTATCATTTGTTCTCTTAATCTTGGTCAGACTGACTGGGGTAAAGAGAAATCTTAAGTTGGTCTTAAGTTGCATTTCCCTAATTACTAGCGATGTTGAACACTTTTTACGAAGTTTCTTAGCCACATTTATTTCTTCCTTTGAGAATCCTTTTAATTGGGTACTTCTTGTCTTGATTCTCTGTTTTTTGAGTTCATTATATACTCTGGATACCAAACCTCTGTTGGATGTGTCACTCGTGAAGATTTTCTCCCATTCTGTGGGTTTCCGGTTCGCTTCCCTGGTTGCCTCCTTTGATGTACAGAAGCTTTTTAGTTTAATGAGGTCCCATTTGTTAATTCTTGTCCTTGTTTGCTGAGCAATTGATGTCCGGGTTAGAAAATCCTTTCCTACACCTGTATCTTGTAGGTTTTCCCCAATGTTTTCTTCTAATAGTTTCAGGCTTTACATTGAGATCTTTGATCCATTTGGAATTGACTTTTGTGCAGGGTGAAAGATAGGGGTTTACTTTCGTTCTTCTACAGGTGGAGATCCAGTTTTGCCAGCACCATCTGCTGAACATGCTCTTTCCTCCAGGGGCCCCTGCGGCCGCCCCTCCACTCTCCCGGTGCTGTCTTCGGGTGCCGCTCCTCTGTTCGTACAGGTGACACCTGCAGCATCTCTCCATTCACATGGTATCACATGTGTGCCACCTCCAATCGCACAGGAGCCGCCTCTGATCACAGGGGCGCTGCCTCCGATCACACGGGCACAGCCTCCTGGGTGCCATCTTCACTCCTCGCTGTGGCCACAAGCTGCGGCTGCTCTTCTGTTCACTCGGCAGTGCTGAGGCACCTCTTCTGCTCACCCAGTGCTGCCTCTGATTGTTGCTACTTCTGCCAGTTTCCGGACCCCAGGGCTGGTGAGGAGACTCTGTCAGCAAAGCCACATTCAGACACAGGAGACCCGGTTCATTGATGCATATCAGGTTTGTTGAAGAAAGGCACAAGCTTATATAGGGGTGGGGGTCCAGTCAAGAAGTTACAACTCAGATCTTTGGCAGGGCTGTGTCCTATCATGACATCGCGAGTCAGACACCTCATTAGCATACTGGGTTTCAGGTTACTTAGGTTCCGGTTTCCTTATGGAGCCTGGTTTCCTTGGAACCACATGACTAGGGCCGTCTAAGTGTTGCAATTTGGGATTTCAAGGGTGGTGATTAGGGAGTGGCGAGCTCTAGGCATCAGTCTCATGATCTGCCAAAGGGAGCAAATGTATTAGAGTGATGCTGGCTTCATAGAAGGAATTTGGAAGTTCTCCCTCCATTTCTATCTTTTTAAATAAATTAAGCAGTATTGGATGTAGATCTTCTTTAAATGTCTGATAGAATTCTGCTGTAATTCCATCTGATCCTGGCCTTTTTTTAGTTGAGAGATTTTGTATTACTGTATCAATTTCTTTTTGTGATATGGGTCTGTTTAAGCTGTTAATCTCTTCTTGGTTTAGTTTTGGTGGTTCCCATGCCTTTAGATATGCATCTATTTCTCTTAGGTTTTCAAATTTAGTAGCATATAGGTTTTTAAAGTATTCCCTTATATTGTTCTGTATCTTTCTCGTGTGTTGTGATGTTAACCCTTTCATCTCTGATTTTGTTGATTTGGGGGTGCTCTTTCTTTTGGCTAACTGGGCTGGCTAGAGGTCTGTCAATCGTGTTTATCCTTTCAAAGAACCAGCTCTTGGATTTGTTGATTCTTTGTATATTTTTCTTTGTTTCAATTTCAGTAATTTCTGCCCTGATTTTTGTTATTTCTTCTTGTCTGCTGGGTTTGGGTTTCATTTGCTGTTGCTTTTCAAGTGTCTTGAGTTTCAACCTTAAGTCATTTATT